CTAAGAACAGCAAAGCAAGAGACAGAAAGCAGTGGTCACAGAGGTCTGGTAATTATTTCCAAAGCTCTATGTCCTTTTGTGAACCCTCTCAGTGGATACGTCTGTTGTTAATTCCTATTTACTTTCAATTTCTTTCCGTTCGTTAAGGAAATGCAATCATGCCTGCACACATGAAGCAACGGTGAACACAGTGTCGCAGCTTTGCAAACCAGTACTTGGAAGGGGGGCAGTATGTTGCTGCACATTACAGAGCAGCTCATAAATGTATCACAGACGCTGAAGTTACTTTTTTACAATAAGCGCGGTTACCAGAATGAGATGTTTCCTGGAATCATCGTGAGTTTCCGGTCATACAGCGCAAAGGTAGCGTCACGGGTTGTCGGCTTCATAACACGCTGACGTGTCTGACAAAAACACGGCTGCTAAATTGTCTCCTGCAGATGTGAAACTTGTTAGATTACTGTCTGACTAATGTAATTCAGATTTCCCTGAATGTAATTTGGGATTTGGCGGAAACATCAGTACCTGCTGATGTACTGTTTGTTGCCCGGAGCTGGCTGTGTGTCACGATCTTTTCCTTTGACTTTATCAAACAACTGCATCACGGAAAATGCTTCTTTAAAGTGAGCACACAGGATCAGTCAGAATCTAATGCTGTTATGTGTTCTTCTAAACAGCTGACCCAACCTGGTCCCATCTAATGTCACTCTCTCCTGCCTCAAAATAGCCTCCATCTACACACACCCTCTGCCACTCGAGCACACCAGCTCACCGAACACAGTAGAACTACTCTTAAGTTGCACTATAGCGGTAATTTATTTACATATGTTTGACTCCGAAGAAGGAAATGATACAGAAAGTCTGAATCTGTGCACACACACAAGTATACAACCATTACTTCAGCACATTTAACATTTATTCAAGCACTCCTGCACACTTACATCCTCGCGCTACTAAACATCTAATTCTGCAAAGATTAAGTCCAACTGAAAATCTTTCCAATCATTCACAGGTGCTTAAAGCATCAGCAGTATTAAATGGTTACTATGGAGTCATGTCAGAGCGTTTACATGTCGCAGCAAAATCTATTTAGAATTTAACCAAGAAATCACATTTTACAAGCAAAATAATATGGTTTGTGTGTTAAATAAACAAATGACTGTAGTGGATTAAGTTACGCAACACGTATTAAGCCGCGTGAAATTTGGACCTAAAAATTGAGTAGCCCCGAATGCCCTCGGTTATATTTCACCACCGCAGGCCACAGTTTAAAAGCTTACACATTGTTGGTATTTAACGCACTGATTGCTGTAATTAAGTCAGACAATTATTGAATGGTTAACGAGATAAAAGTTAAACTCCTTAAGGCATTGGATGGATTTTTGTTCTCAGCACTTCTCTCTTTTTTTCCTCCCCCCCCCTTCAGTATTTCTGGGGTATTTTCACCTTTAAAAAAAAAAAAGCTCAGAGTAAACAATGACAGCAAAGGATGACATGCATCAGAAGTCCTGAGTCAGATTCAAACCACTGAAAAAGCACTAAATCACCAGGATGCCACGGCCTCGGAATGCGTAAAGTCTTATCTCCGGGCCTGTTTCTATGCAGCACTCATCTGTTTAAATGTCAGAAATTAAAACGGCTGCAGTCGGGGGGCTGTAACGTTAGGTTTCCTCCAGTCAAACACAGGTTTGTTCACTCTTTACTCCCCTTCCCCCAACCTGTAAACCGAAGGCTCGCAAACAAAAGAGTCATTTCCACAAGAAAAGCGCGTTCTCTGTGTTTGTACTAAACATGTCCAGCGGCAGTTTAACGACAATCAAAGTGCATAAGTCTGACCTTTAAAACGGACTTGGATCTAATTTTATTTTATCAGTCGAGGCTAATTTTATCTGCAAATGAATATGAGCGTGCAGCATGTTTAGGATTGAAAAGAAACGGAGAAACTCCACCGAGGAACTTACTTTCTTTCAATGTGTCAAACATACTAAACATTTTGTATGAACATGAACAAAATGTGGATATATGTAGCGGTAATTACTACAAATGCACTAAATATTTGTAAATATGCAAGTACAAGCACATTTAACTATAATTCCTCATTCAGCTGTATTTGCAGCAGCCAGTGGGATTCAATCTCTTTAATAATCTAACAAGACACAAACACCTAAGATTGACTTCCATCAGTAGTTTTTCTTGTTATTGCCATCAAAAGTCACTGATAAGATCGTGGTCTTACGTTTAATTTTTGACTTACACTAATGTCTGTCTTTATGTTTTATTTTATAGTTTTCAGACACGGGATGTGTAACACTTCTGGCTTCATCTGTCCGTTAAAGTGACGACATTCCCTCATGTTCACTTTTCTGGCTTCACTCAGACAATCCAGTTAACAAGTATTTGATATTTGCCGTGCGAGTGAGACTGGACATCAAGTGATGGACCGTGATGCACTAATAAACAACAGACTAGGACCGCTATGTAATGATTTACCTGTAGCACGTAAACTGTGACTGATGTACAAAAATGTAAGCAGCGAGACCTTTGGACGTTGGATCCTGATGGATGCCGTCTCATGTTGGGGATAATTTAGAATTCTAAATAAATGTTGGTTACAGCTGTTTTTCCACATGTATGAATGCATACAACTCTTGGTTTGGATGGATCCTGTTGCTGTTTAACTCGGCAGGTATTTAATTAACTCGGAGGAAAGACTCCTAGAAACAAATGGAAGCAACAAGCTAAACTTCAGCTCTGTCAAAACCCTGACTACATTTATTGTAAGTAGGGCTGGACCCTTGTAGAAGTTATATTCCTATTGATATTTCAGTTATAAATAGATGTAACACTGTAGGGCAAAATGAATGAGAAGGGTGATTTTGAGCCTAACTGTGTCTTTGGTGCTCTCTTTGATGTTTTTGGACCACTAAATGTCAAACAAGCCTTCCGCACATTGCTTCATACAACTTGAAGTATGTCTGAAAGTCTGTTACCCACCTGCAGGTCAAATTTATGCCATGTTGACAATGTGACAAAAAAGTTCCAAGATCTGACACCTTAATGCCTCCACAAACAACTACTGCAACATCAGTTAATGATTTTACTATTTCACAGATTAATTGATCAATCTAAACAATTAATTCTTCTTCTGAAAAGCAACATGATCAATTATTAAAGTTTATTTTTGACACACTGTATAAAAATATATTTAAAAAGTGGGTTTGTTACTGAAATAGGTACTGCAACTTCGATCCAAGTTTCTATTGAAAACGCACAGAGCAGCTAAAGCTACTCGTTCTCTCCTTGTTGTGCAACTGCTCTCTTACTTTGATAATAGCTTTGAATTCTTGAGAAATAAATTCACTGTACGGCTTATGTCTTTAACTTCTGTGTGTGGAGAGTTTTGTCTGATTTATAAAATCAGGATTCTAGCTTTGCAAAGCAGCTGACAGGAAGCGACTGCTGGTTAGCATGTAGCCTCAGTGAGCTGTGTTTCTGTCACTATTTTATACTTGTTCTGAGAGCAGAAGCAAATATATGTGGAAAAGAAAAGCTTTTTGGTAGTTTTACTGTTCAAAAACACTGAATATGTGAGCACAGAGAGCAGGAGAGAAGAAAACGGATGGAAAGTCTTTCTAATAGCTTTATTCATATAGCACCTTCTAGAAACAGAGGTCATGGAGTGTTTTGAAAGATAGGACACTCATTCGGACAAGATTAAAAAGAAAGCGAGTCAGGTCAAGCAGAAAGAAAAAGAGACCCGAAAAGCAAAAAATGTGGAGAAACGGTAAAACATGAAACATTCAAAATACAGAATTTCAACACACAGACCAATTACTGGCACAAATAAAATACTAAAAGCGCTAAAATAACGTAGAACGTTGAAGGAAAACAACAACAAAAAAAATACTGATGGAAGGGTTACAAGAAAGAAGAAAATAGCTAAAACAGAACAAAAACTTTTTGGAAAAGTCCGTGTCCGAAATCAGCCACTACCGATCGCCATTTGGTAGTGCTGTCTGAATGTTACCTTACACACCCTATATAGTACCACTCAAAACATCCCATAATCCACCATGAAAAATAGTGTACAGCCGATGGTGACTAACCGAGCAATATGGACCATCATGCATGGCACAAAAGGAAATGCGAACTATAAACAAGAGCGCGGAAACTCGTCATTATAATGTAAGTAATTTAGAGAGCGACGTTATTAATAGCTTGAGTAGTGTCCAAGATGTTACTTTGCCGATGTGCTCCCTACATAGTTCACTTCATAGTGGTCCCTATATAGTGATAGGGAATGAGTGAATGATTTCGGACACAAGAGGAAGTTTACGAACCACCTTTGTGTTCCATGACAATTTAAAGTCTTTAGAAACTTTTGCATTTACCTGAGTTGGACTCTATTGCCGCCATCGTCTAAAACTATTATTCTGACTGAAGTTGACCAATGATTGGAGCCAAAAACATCATGACGCAACAATTATGCAGTGATACTTAAGAAAAAAAAAAAACATTTATTATAATCAAGTCAAAAACATGCATCTACTGAAACTACTGATGTCATTTTGAGCTCTAGTATTGCTGATGATGCTAACTAATCCACCCCAGTCAGATTCCCTTCACAACTTTTCGGGGAAAGTGATCAGGGTGCTCATTCAGACATGAAATTACAGGTTTGGTTTCAGTCAGATTAACTGAACAGAGTCTGAAAGGGGCTTTAGAAACCAACCTCCTATTATTCTTTTTAAAAACGTGGTTGCAACATACAACGTGCAATCATCCACCAACTACAAATATCCTCTTGATCAGTATTTTTTGTGTGTTTTCCTTGATCCAACACTCTCTTCCCCCCCATCTCTCTTATCGTCTCCCCGCGTCAACACGTGGTTTCCTCAGGCCGGGCTTTTATTGTGAAGGCTCCAGTCGGCGGTGCGCTTGTCTCCCCGCCGCTTTGACCGTCGTGTCTTGGCTGGTGATTTGCTTACTTGGAGCAGGACTGAGTTTGGAGCGGGTACTGTGAAATGTTGTAAGCATGATGTTGCCTGGATAATCAGCGGAGGACGGTTAGGAGACGCAGGTAAGATCAGCTGTGACAACCTCTTGTTTTTTTTTGTTTTCATTTTTACTATTCTCGTTTTCTCCTCAGGATCTCGTTTCCAGCCGGATTCCGCTCCGATGAACTACTTTTCGGTCCCAGACTAATTTTAATAATTAATATTTGGATAAAGCCAGTTGTCTGTCGGATTCTTAGATTATTTATTCTTGGTTGCTTTTGACGGCAGACACGTGGAAATGAAACCCAAGTTCGGCCGCAGTCTTGCTTTCGGATTTTCACAAACTTGATTTGACTGGAACGCAGACTGTTCAGTTCACCGTGACATCTATTTTAGATCAAACTGGGTCTTTTATTTTCGGACGTTTCCACCTCAGAGAGACAGACGTGCAGACAGTAAATAAGCGCGCACTGAGGGTTAATTTGTCGCAATGTCTTTTCGGTTTTTTTCCCCCCTTTTCTTTTTTTTTGGATAATAATTTTTTTTTTGCGCGTCTGCACCTGATGCGCTCTGATGTTGCGGTTAGTTGAGGATGCAGCCTGTCAGCATCACTGCTGCTGAGTGATCCCCAAACATCATCCTAAACATCATTCAGGGTATTTTAAATATAGTAGAGGAAAAAAAAAACTGGATTCCGCTTCTTTTTTTCCCCCTCTCCCCCTCTCCCCCTGCTTCCATCATTTTGGTAGTTTTTGGGGAACTTATTGAGGTATTTTTAGCAGCTGCGGCTTAATTGTCTTTAACGCATCTAATCATGGACGTGCGCAGCCTAAATGAACTAATCAGCCCTTGAAGGCGTTTGTTAATAGCGGGCCTACCTGTTGAGGGCACGGATCTGTGTGTGTGTGTGTGAGTGTGTGTGAGTGTGTGTGAGGAGCTTGATAAATTGAACCGTCACCTCTCAGTATGCAGACGTTATTACAGCGACGTGACCGCTCTGAACGAGACCTCAGACTAATCACCTGCAATGGAAACTGTTGCTTTGCGCTTATCGACCTGTTGTCTGCCTTTGCTTCTTAATTAAAATACATAAACATGTAGGGGTGCATCAAATAAAACCCTTGAAGAAATCACGTGGGGGGGTGGGTAAGAGGGGGGGTTTATATTTCACATTTGAAAAATATTCCTTTTGATGGATAAAAAGGAGTGTAATTAACTGCCTTTTATGTCATATTGTTTGTGAAAAGGGCTCTAATGATTACACACTTTCCCACAGACCCACAACCGGCTGAAGGCAAGTGAAGCAGGCAGGACAGCCACACCTCATGCGTGGCCACAGCAAAGGTCCGAGTGGATACGGGTCTGACAAACATGGGTGTGCTCCAGCTCCACAACCCCACTCACTCCAGCACGCTCCTGCAGCGGGCCAATCAGATGCGTCTGACCGGTACCTTGTGTGACGTCATCATCACAGTGGACGGCCAGGAGTTCCCGGCGCACCGCACCGTCCTGGCCTGCACCAGCAAGATGTTCGAGATCCTGTTCCACCGCAGCAGCCTGCGCTACGCCCTCGACTTCCTGTCCCCGAAGACCTTCCAGCAGATCCTGGAGTACGCCTACACCGCCTCGCTGCAGGCCACGGCCGAAGACCTGGACGACCTGCTGTACGCCGCCGAGATCCTGGAGATCGAGTACCTGGAGGAGCAGTGCCTCAAGGTGCTGGAGACCATCCAGGCGGAGGAGAGCGAAGAGGTGGCGGTGAAGAATCACACCTCCGGAGACCACAGCGACCACAGCCGGGCCAGGCACTGGAGGCACATGCTGATGTCTAAGAAGCATTCCATACAGGACGGACCCACCCGCACCACTCCCACGGCCCTGCACCACCTGGCGCTCTACCACATGACGGAGAGGAGCTCCCCCGGCCCAGAGTCCGAAGGGGCTCCCAAATCGAGCCCCAAGACGGACACTGAGGTCGACATGGAGCAGCAGGGTCAGAGCCTAGACTTGTCCCAGGACTCGTCCCTGGATCCTGCCAGAAGCATCAAATCAGAGCGCATGCAGGTGGACGACGCCAACGGCTACGAGGGCAGATCCTCCAGCGCCGGGGAGGGAAGCTGCATGTCAGACCAGCCCAGAGAAGAGGGCCCGGGGACGCCCCTGAGAGGCAGCGTGATCACCAGCGCCAGAGAGCTGCACACGAGCCCCGAAGAAGGAGGGCAAGTGGTGGCGAACACTCTTGACTGTTTCCCCGGCATCGCTGACAAACACCTGGCCTCCATTTACTCGGTGCCCTCCAACCACACAGGGGAGGGCTTGCCGGTGTCCGTCTCGGTGGCCCCGTCCCTGGGCGTGCCGCTGGACCCGAGGGCCTACAGCGGTCTGCTGCACCAGGGCTTGCTGCACAGGGAGCTCCTGAGCCGGCTGGGCCAGTTTGCAGCGGGGATGAGGCACGAGGGCCAGACTCAAGGCCAGCAGTGTTGTGGCGAATGTGGGCTTCAGCTGCACAGCAGGCAGGCGATAGAGCAGCACAGGTAACATGCACAACAACCCTTCTTTTCTCTGTTTTTTTACACTCTCCTGTAGCTTTTCTGTATATTTTAATTGATTTAGATTTTTAGTAATGAAACTAAAAGGAAATGTGTGCTTGTGCTGAGGAGAAAACACTGCTGCTAAACATGTCTGCTGACAAAGTGTGTTTAATAAAAGATGGATGTGCAGGTGGACGTGTGCTTGTGTGCAACATCTGATTATTCTGGACGCACGTCTCTTCAATTGAACTGTTTTCTCAGTCCTCGGAATTATTATTTATTTATTTATCTATATTCTGTGATGCTAAAATACTACGCGAGTTAAAAGCTGGAAGGAGCAACAGCAAATATGTTAATTTATTCTCAGGGACACCTGCTCTCATGTCTTAACAGTGAGACGTGTAGGGGAAGTTTTGAATCGGGTCTTTGTGAGGGGGGTTTGATATAAAGAGGCCTTGGTGTCGCATAATGCTGTTATTTACAAAGCCTTATTTTCCGAATTCTGTTTGATTATTTGCGCTGAAGTGTGCCTCACACAACAGGCTGTCTCCCCGGCTATTTGATATGCATTCCTTTGCATCAGCAGAGAGGAGCCTCTCAGCAGGGACCAGGCTGGACGCTTCAGCAAGATGATGGATAACTTCTGCTTCCCGGATCGCTTTGTTGTTGTTGTTTGTTTTGGGGTTTTTTTTGTTTATTTTTACTTTATTTATGAGCTTGTCAGATTGTATTTTGTCATTGTACGCGAAAAAAAACCAAAAAACTTACCAACTAGCACGATGACAACTCTCATTAACTTGATTGCAGATGTTTCTAATTGTGCGTGCTTGGCAGTATTTGACTCACCACTAATCAGCAGAAACAAGGCAATCTTGCGAGTTCAAAGTCTTAATGTGCAGCTAACCCATGATTAGGATCACAGCCTTTCTCAGTTCGCGCCTGTGGCTGACATTTCAGCCTCGTGCCACTCCAGAGCTCTGTTGAAACGGAGCATCCTGTGGGATATTTAGTGATGCGCGCTGCTTACTCATGGAGACAGGCGGATGTCCGCAGGTTGAAGAAGCTGCATTGGTGGCACTGCTTGAGGATGTAATGAAGTTGCTGTAGGTGTGTAACCAGGTCACTGAGCATACACCTGGCCTGAAGATTGACATTTTCTAGTGTTGTTCAAGAAGTCTCTCCTGGCACAGTTTTTCTTTTGCAAACTACAGAAAATAAAAATAAAATAGAGTAATTTGAATCCCAAAATTACAGGTGATGCCTGTCAAACTGAAAGCTGCACGGTTACAGGAGTTTTCCATGTTGTGAATAGTGCTAAACAATTAAGCATTTTTAAATTGGAATTCAAAACAATGCATTTAAGCAAATTGAAAAAGCTGCAATTTAGGATATATGTCATGCAGCACGTCTGACCCAGGGTTAAACTAATTATACAAATTCATGCCGTCCTGCTTGTGTGCCTCCGATTGTGTCTGATGTGGTGACGCTCCATCACATGCTTCAAATCTGTCACACAGTCAACACCCAAAAAAATATTGAAAAATTATTCAGATAAATATCTAAATTACATATTTTCCTCAAATAATTAAACCCTTGTTATAAAAAAAAAAGAAAAAAGGATCTGCTAATAAATCAAACTGTCTTTGTTTTTTGGACTCGTGTTGGAAGGCAGCTCGTGTTGTCATTATTCTTAAATTAACTCCAAATAATTTACCGTTATTGTATCAGTGACAGTGAAATGAGGGGAGGAAGAAGGGGAATGAAGTGAAAATGAAATGCAATAATTGTCCCCAGCTGGACTCAAACTGGAAACATCGTGATTTCATGGTCAGTGACTTAAGCCCCTAGGCCATCAGGACACTCTGTAATTATCCCTTTGATTGAAAAGATGACAGTGGTGAGAAAAAAAAAGAAGAAAATATATTGTTCACACCTCAGACGTCTCAACTGCCGGGATACCAGGAATAAAAACTAATGAGTCTCGCATGAATGTGGAGGGTAGATTGTCTGCGACGGAGGTTTGGGGGGAAAACTTGAAGAGCAAAAAGCCAAAAAAAAAAAAAAAAAAACGTAGCTCCGAAATGACACCTTTACTTCACGACATGAACGGTCGATGTCATGTGTGTTCGTCTGCGTCTCGTGACCAGAGTGTGTTTAACCGCAGACTCTTTTTAGGCCATTTGCTCTGCTGTTAGCGGGGGTGATGTAAGGATAACAGTACAGATGCCTCGCATGCTCGGATGTGTGTGATATGATATGATAGGTTTTGCTGCTGGCGGAGCTTCAGCGAATCATCTTCTTTTCTCCTTTTCATTGCAGTTACAGGAGAAGTGTATGTGTGTGCTCATATTATGCCGGGGATGTGGGTTTGTGCGCGCAGTTGTGTGTCTGCTTGTGTGTGTGTGTGTTTGAGTGCGTGCCCAGTGTCTTGCAGTGCTGGCGGGTGGAGGCACGCGTATGTCTGCACTCTGAAATTAGCCAGATATCCTATTGTCTGTGTTCTTTTAGCATTCATGCGTTGTGATTCACAACTCCAAGGGCCTCTTACACTAATGATGCTGCATTCAGCGAGGGATTCTTGCCGGAATTAAAACATGCTCCTCTTGTTACGAGGACAATGATGCTTCTAGGTTTGGGAGACCTTACAGGAAAAGGAAAAAAAAAAAAAAAAAGGCGCAGAAACGAGATACTTTTTATTGTCGCGAGTGCGTTCTTCGCTCTGTTCCTGCCTCTGTTAACACGCTCACATTAGTGTTTGTCTTTCCACAGGAGGCTGCATAATGAGGAGAAGGGCAACGGCTGTGAATACTGTGGCAAACACTTCCAGGACAGCATGCGTCTGAGGATGCACATGTTGTCTCACACAGGTACGAAGTAACTCTCGCCTCAGAGCGTTGGGTGCTGATTAACCCTCTTGATACAGTAGTGCAGCCTTTTCAAATGCACCTGTTCACGCTGCACCCCCTCCCCTCCCCTGGTCCCCCTCTTGCCATACCAGTTAGTGCTGCTCCGAATACTTGGATCATGCTTTCTTTTCCATGCTTAGGTCTATGTACCTCCCCTCTCTCCTCTCCGTGTCTCTCCCTCCGTTTGAATCGTTTCTGTGTTTTTTCGGAGACTCTGGCAGCTCGCCAGCTCTGCCCCTTCTGAGTGATGACATCATCAGCTGCCGGCAGGCCTGGGTGTTCTGCCAGTGTTCCGAAGCGTGTGTGATGGCTCGCTCGCAGATGTGTGTCCAGGAACACACTGTACCCAAATGCAGACTTAATCAGACCTGACTGCTCTCCCAGCTACTTTATCCAAAATAGAGGAAGAGGAGGGAGGGGAGGGAGGAGAGGGTGGGGAGGGAGGGTTGAGGGGGGGTAGGAGGATCAGGGACTAAAAATGAAACTAAAACAGAAACAGAAACCTCAGTCGGAATATGTGTACAGACAAGGCGAAGTCCCTGTCCTCTCCGCCTGCTCTCTGAGGATTGTTCGGGAATGACATACTGCTGACAGATGAGAGAGAATCTGCCTCTTTAAACTTCACCTGAGTCGTGCCTTTTTTTTTTTTTTTTGTGACTCCTCTATACCCTCTGCCACCCTAAACACAAATATTGCCTCGCATTACTCACAGACCTCGGCAACACGCTTTGATTTTCAATTCGCAGTGACATCAATAACAGCAGCACCTTTAACCTAATTTGAATTTTTGCATAAACTCTCCCCATCCCAATGTGTCAACCCATAATACTACAAAAAAAAAAAAAAAAAAGGAGAGAGATGTGGATCTCATTTCTTTGTCACTGTGTATTTCGGTATAGCAGCCTTAGATCCCGCTGGTTGCTAAGGAGCGAGTGCTCCACTGCTCTAATGGGCTGATTTGGTATTCAGCTCGATGCTGGCTCTTATTTTGGTATGCCAGACAAAGTGTTTTGATGGAGGACGATTGCAGCCGCGTCTGGAGACAGTTTGATGGTTTATGGATGAGAGCACACTCCGTGCCTTTGACTGCACAAGACAATGCACTATGTTCTCTTCTTCCCTTATCACACAATCTCACACAACACAACACACCGCACTGGACAGCGTCACACAACATCAGGATCTACAACACTGTTTCACTGTTACTACTATGCAAGACTACTCCCCAAACCAAGTTTTTATTTTTGTGCTGCGTAACAAAACGCACCGTTCCAAAACTGTAACAGTTTGTTTTCAAAAATTGTTGTTTTTAGAAATGAACAGATTGGGGCTTTTTTGTTATTTGTGTGCAGCACTGGGAACAGTGGCACAGTGTCTGTGTATAGAGGCATCGTAAGAGTTGAAAGAGGACCACATTTAGGCTGTAGCGCTCAGAGTTCCCAAAGCTTGTGGGTGTTTTAATGAGTCATTTTAACTTCATTTAAAGCCAGCTGAGCAGAAAATAGATCAGTGAATGAGCCCTGGGCCAGTATGGATCTGCAACCGATTTACATCTCTGTGAGAGCCAACCCACATCCAAACAGCTGTGTGTGTGAGAGACAGAGAGAATGTGTGTGTGTGTGTGTGTGTGCATATCTGTCCTATGTGTCTGTCTGTGCAGGTGTGAGGTGAGTGCAGAACAAGGAGCGAACGTTTCTGCAAGCAGTATGCATACTTGTCTCTTTCATGTCTTCATCAGAATAGACAAGGGCATTCCAAAGGTGAACTGGGAACTGTAGTTACAGTGTATGCGATGGGATTTGGGGTGTTGACTCTGAAGTGTTTTTTTTTTTTTTTTGATAAAGGGATGTGCCGCAGGCGGGAAGCGTCTGCTGTAGAGAGAACACCCAGTCCTTCTGTGGCCTCTCAGGCAGACAGTCTGCTCACTGTTCAGTGCCTGATAACAGGGCACGGTAAATAAAACTCTTCAGCTCGCCTCTTTTTTGTCAAGAAGAAGGGCCATTGCACCCTGTCTGGTGCTTTTGTTTGTCCCCAGTTGTGTTTTTATGGCGCTTTCCTCTGCTCCATTGTACTCCGCGCATTTGCTTCCTTGTGTTAACACCTGAAAAGCACAAGTGTGTGACAAGCGAGGCTCTTTGGTGACTTTTCAAACGGCGCGCCTTTGTTCCTGCTCTTGTTGCTTTTCTTTTTTCTTTCTTTTTTTTTTCTCCTTTCCTCTCCACAGCTCTCTCTAAATGCTAAATTAACTGACTTACTCTACAATTACAAAAACACACAAGTTTGCGTTTATGTCTGACGGAGACACAAATTTGATTTCGTCCACAGCTCCCGCGGAGGCGCTGGTGTGTGATCAGTGTGGAGCGACGTTCTCCTCGGAGGATGCTCTGGAGGCCCACAGGCAAACGCACACAGGTACTTTTGTAACGCATGTGCACCGACACGACGCGCGTTCTGTTTAACCTGGGCAGCCGGCATTGAGCTGTTGAGTAAGCCGTGACTGCGGGACTTGTGATCATGGGTCTAAACTTGCTTGTCATGCTGGCTGGGTTAAACTGTTCCTGTCATGATGCTCCATAATTTATCAACAGGGAGGTGGGAGGCCCTCTCACATATCACCCACTAATATCTCTTGGCATCCGTACCCACTGCATGCCACTTTGCCACAGCTCCACAGAGCCGGCGTTGCAGCTCCACAGACATACTATCCGCCGCTCCTTCCTGACAAGCGGTTGTGAAATTATTTACCTCACACACTCACAACAACAACAACGCGAACACCTTTTGTGTGTGTTGCTTTTTTTTATTTTTTTCAATGATCTCCAATCAAGAAAATGTTTGTATTACATCCTGTTTCTCACCCAGTGACTGTCTGGCATTAACAGTTGGCATGAGGATGAGTCAAAATATTTTTTTCTTGATAGATTTTTTTTTTTTCTTTGGCTGAGTAGTTTCACAAACCTGGATGGCGATTTGCAATCTGGGCTGTTAGAGTTTTAGAACAACCTGCCTGAGGAGGTGAAGTCATTATCAAAAGTTAGAAAGTGCTGTACGGAAAGAAAAAAAAAAAGGAAAACGAGGAAGAGGACGTGTACAATTGATGGAATGAAAAGCACTAAAATCAGTATTTTGCATTAATAAAACATACCTCTCAAGCATAAGCTGCCAGTAATTAGTTTATTAATGCTTATAAAGTAATACATTCCTATTGATTTCAACATAAATCCATTGTCTAACACCAGTATATTAAAGCGCTATTGTTGTCAAACCGTACATTTGCCTGACAGTGTCTGGATCCACACCTTTTCTGCTACTGTCCGAGAAAGGTGATAACCCTCTCAGGAGCATTGGCACGTAACTGTAACTCCAGGTGGCACACACAGTATGAATAGTTAATGGATGTGGACATGGAGGGGTGTTAACGATGCCCAGAAGTTTCTACCCTCTTCTACGTGAGTTGTAAACATCCAGAGCTCAGTTTCAGCTTGGCAGTGTGTCCGGAGGCAGGGTATGCAAGGGCATTACTCTCTCATTTTGTCATGATCTCAGCTCGGTCGACTGTGACGCATGACCCTTTTTTTTTCTTTTTTTTTACTGCTTCTTATTGTAGGCCTCACAGCGTACAGCTACAGGTAATCTAATCAGCTGGGTTGAGGTTATGTGGGGAAATGCTTCAACTTGACGCAAAGATTTACGCCGTTCTTTAAAAAAAAGCACCTGGGTTTTATTTCCTCTAAAAAGCACCGGAGGGATTTTTTTTTAGTGCCGATCACGCAGCCTCGGCTTCAATTTGCCATGTGGCATAACCAGTGAGCCAAATGAGTTTCCTCTTAGCAGATTAACACTTGTCAGACCTCAGCAGCTGCACCGCTGCTGTCCACCTCCTCTGGACGGGAAATAATGCTACTTTTGGGAGACCTTACTCTGAGGCAATTTGGCAGCACTGGCTGCAAGACTAGCTTACAGTGAAAGTCTCTTTAGCCATTTTGATATGTCAGAGGTGAACGGCCGTGGGTTGCTGAAGTTAAAGATCAAAGAGGAGGGTAAAGGGAGGTGGAGGGGGGGTGTGGGGAGAGAGTTTGGGGGCGGGCTGAACTGTGGGAAGGGAAGGGGGTAGGGGGTATGTGAGGACTTCCTGAGGGCAAGAGGATTGCTGCTGGTGTTGGATGCCAGGACTGAGAGGAAAACAACATCATGTGCTGCTGTTTACTCCTCACCACAGCACTGTAATAGTCTCCTCTGACCTACTTGTCAGTGCCCAAAATAAAAGAATGGATATGTCTCCGAATTGCTCTCACAACAAAGGGGTTTGTTTCATCACAGCAAGTTGAGGCTCTGGGGCACCGAGCTTTCAATTTTAGGAAAAAAAAAAAAAAAAACAACAACCCCAAGAGTGTGGCTTATCTACAGCACGCACAGAAATTGACTGTATATGCTTGGAACCGTGCTGGCTGACCATTTCGCCACCTTGCCCTCAGGAAAAGGCCGTAAGAGTGCTGGCTTTGTGTACTCACAGCAGCTGCACTGTTTCCACACATTACAGGCTGCTTCATCAAGTGAATAATATTACCTTCTGTCCAAACCCTAATTAAACAGTCCTGTAGTCTATTCAGATACAGGCCGGGCTTTCTAATGCATCCTTCTTAATGCGGACCTTTTAGCTCGCTTAATTGCGTGTCTGTCATCATGCTGCACCCTCCTGTTAATACCCAGTTGTAATTCGTATAAGCCTTAAACTGAGCTGAACTGTGCTCTGTTTGGCCATTGTGCCCCCGGTATTTATTTGCACTGACTGTTAATGATACACAAAGACCTCCGGGATGCCCTGCCATTTCATGTAAAGTGAAATATAATAAATAGGTACAGAAGATAGGGTAAACATTCTAGGAATCCAGGCAAAAGGAACAGCGTGTGACCTGAATGAACCGGTCCACGGAATGGTGGTTAAACACGAGCAACGTATCTCTTGTTGCATTAATTATTGAGCCGGTTGTTCCTCACTCGGGTAGATTAGCGGTCTACTGATGAGCGCCCGGGGTTGTTTAAGGTACTGTTAGTGTTTGTGTCTGTGCGTCTCGAGTCGCAGCATCCACGGGGAGCTGTCTGCATACAGTAGCGTGAACGCACAGGGTCGTGTGAGGTCTTGCACGTAATCTGGCCTGCATGACTGTATGTTTAACCGGGTGATAGCAGTGTGCCAGCAGACTCTGCGTATGCGCCGAGCGTGGCCCGGGGACACGGTTTACATAGTGCCTTCACACTGCATACTGGTGGACATGAGCAGCGTTGATGTAATATTGTAAACTGTGAAATCTGTGTGAAATTCCCTGTTGTTTTGACAGCAGCAGGTGATTTGTTTAGCGCCGACCTGTCATTAACAATTTACCGAAACAAACAGATCAAATTCTAAAACACGACGCCGGTTATTTTCTACATTGCTGTTAGAGTTAAATGCTCCATTTTCCACATATTCCAGCGAATGCAAAAACTGGGATTACTCACAAACCGATCGTTTTTAATCGATGCTCTCGGGACACGGAAGTTAAGATTAACACAGAAGAAATTATACAGATTTGCGGTCATCACCGATACAATCTCTTGTTCAATTTGCAGTGGGTTTACTCCCAGATTCTCAGGGTGGGAAAACTTTTGTTTGCCGCTTGAAAAGAAACAGGCTGCGCTTATTTGTGAATGAAGGGATTAGCTTGAACACTTCACCCCAACAAGGACCATGATCCTATCTGGTTGCCTAGACACATGGTTTTGTTTCTTAGGCAGCGTGAGAGCCTGGCTGGCTCCCACCTCAGTTGGACTGAATAAGTGGCAGATGTATGAAGGCAGACCATGTTAAATCACATGAGCGTACACATCGTCTTAGTGGCGATACGCTGCAATAGCGCAACAACCTCAAACTGTCATCAGTTCCTAACCTAATTGTGCATTAGACTAGTCATATAATGTTTATATTTTCTGCCTCGTAGCAGAATTGCTTAAAAGTAAATCATTATTCCCCACTGTTAAAGCTCCCGCCCACTAAACACAATGCTCCGTCGACTCTGCAGCCTTTGAGAAATACCATTGATTACATGGTATTTACCCCATTGAGGGCCAAAGGTCAAGGGGTCATCCTCTGCCTTAAAACCTAAATCCCAGGCCTATTGTCTGGTTAAGGGTGAGAAAGCAGGGGGCAATGACAGCCAACTTTAGGGCTTATTCTCTCATAAAGAAGCTCCTCTGCACTTATTACCAAAGCTTACTGGAAAACTCTATGACCGCAAATCCTTTTTGTTTGAAAAGTTAACAGAGCGCAGTGAGGCGAAATGCCTCCACTAACACATACAAACACTTCCGTGCCTCCAAAAGGGTTTTTTGTTTACACTTCAAGATATGATTTGGTATTTTTATTTCCAGCGTCAGTTGCGCAGAATAAAACCGAAAACGACTGCTGAGCTGTTGTCACTGAGCATCAACCTGAGATCAAGAGTGAGAGTCTTGTGACAGAATATTTGTCATATTTCTTTTCACAAGTTTCGGTATTGTTGGTGACAGAAAGATCAGGTTATACATCTGTGAGCGTCTAAGAGTGTGTCAGGGAGTAACGGTTTAGCTCCACAGAGAAAGTGGGATGTTAAAACTTTCAGAGCAGCTTGCACACAAAAAGTATGCAAGCTGCATTGTAACAGGCATGTGCTATATATGATGGTTAATAAAGAGAGAGTTGGGAGAGGATAATTAAAGTAGCTTTGAAGTATCTACAAGGTGGATAATGTGCTATTCAGCTCTGCCTGCAGCTTCAGTAACATGGACACATTGGAACAGAAAGCACTCCCCCTGCTGGCTGCAGCCGATATTACGAGTGAAACTGGTTAAAGTGGCTTCACATCGCGGGTCATGCAGAGACTGCGTTCTGTGCTTCTTAAATGTCTTTAGCCATTTTAGATTGATCATTATCCAGACTTCGCTGCTGCACGGTGCACACAGTGAGCTGGCATTAGTTAGGTATGACTCAGGCAGAAAGTGAAGCTGGTGAGACGGTGAAAGGATTTCCTGTATGGTCAGCGGATCAGGGAAGAGGGGAGGGCGCAGAGGCGTTGAGAATGGACGGCCTTTTGTCCACAACTAAAATATTGTGATCCGCGGGTGAGAAAGGGCTCTGGTCATTAGGCAACAGCATAAAGACAGGGATTGTAGGAGTTGCGTGAGGAGCCTATGACTAATGGGCTTGGTCAATGAGGGCCTGAACCTCATTGTGTGCCCTTTGTGCACAAGTCCACAGGCTCAAGCCTCTGAACAGGTGCAGTTCATTCCACTGGATCGCCTCCCTGTAGGACTGCTAAGATCAGGGAATGTCTTTCATCCCATCTTTCTGTTAATGATTACAAATGATCACTTCTATTAGTGCTGTTTTTCTTTTTGTTTTTTTGAGGCGGGGGGAAAGGATTTTTAAAAATGAGGTTCACGGTTTCAAAGCAGAGACTTTGTACGTACGTGCCACGCTGCAGTTAGCCGTGAAATTCTACGTCTGAGAAAAAGTGTCTGGCTTTGTTTGAGCAAATAGTGATACGTGGATTACTAAACAATACTCGGTGAATGTTTTCGAGTTTCACCGAGAATTTGCTTGATTTGTTTCTCTTTCTTTCTTCTTTTGAACAGGCTTGTCTGTTAACTTGATTGAACCTAAAGCAAGTGTCTGACACTCTTCCCTCTTAGTATGAGTGTGCTGTATCCCTTTCCCTGCGTTAATTCCAATTTAATTGCCAGTTGCCTCAAGGCACTTCAATAACAGTAACAAATGATTTGATTTAGTGGACCTCATCAGACTGCATTTTAAATGCGACACAGCAACCCCACTTGAATTCCAATGAAGTGCTGGCACAGTCCTCTGTTTACTAATGATCCTCCGCTGGAGATGTCTGATTGAATCTGAGTCAGGAGCAATGGGACCTGCTAGCATTGTAAATGATCTGCAACCTGAGCAGACAGAGAAATAAGGACCTCATAATCTCACATTAAAGCCTCACTCTCCAGGACATGCACATTATGTCCAATGCCGCTGATTAACCAGTCCCTCAGTCTTACCGCACATATGAATTTGCTTCGGTGTGAATGCCAGAATGGATTTGAGTGCTGGCGTACACAGCCTGTAGATCAAGTGTTGACTGTATGACAGCCAATGGATCTTCACATAGCCATTTTGACTTAAACTACCCTGCCAGCGTCTCCCTATCTGTATTCCTCTCCACACTCTGTGCAACAGGAAAGCAGCCCCAAAGAGATGCCAGGTCACACACAGGATTAAACTGGATTGTGTTTTTTCCTGCAGTCCTGCCTTTAATGGCTTGATATCACTACTTAACATTCTGCACAGAGCGCATAGTGTAGGCATCATTTAGGGTGGAGCTACTATCAGCTGCTCTTTGAGCACAGAGGCAGAGGACTTTACAGGCTGGAGCTGACTCCTGATGGGGAATGAAGAGAATAATTACACATCTAAGACACCAGGAAGGAGCCATTGATTGTGTGATTGGCATGCTGTGCATTGTGTGGGAAATTCTTAAAGAAAACAATGACTTTCATGGTTTAAAATAGAGCGTATAAAGACTCACAGCTGAAAGTGCCTCTGGGCTTTTAGGGGAGTTAGTTTAGGTAGAGGCACTTGCTCTTTGAAAGAAGCTTTTCCCTCAGAGGACTCACACAAAGTTGAAGTGACCCAGTTTCCCCACTTAAGGCCCTGTCTGTGTATGGTACTGAAATAACTGTGCGTCTGTGTCTTGTGCATTCTCCAGGGACTGACATGGCGGTGTTCTGTCTGCTGTGTGCAAAGCGCTTCCAGACCCAGAAGGCCCTGCAGCAGCACATGGAGGTCCACGCAGGCATGCACAGCTACATCTGTAGCCACTGCGAGCGCCCCTTTCCGAGCCACACTACCCTCAAAAGACACTTGCGCTCGCACACGGGTAAGAAGCGGACCGTTTGAACCGTCGCTATCGTTCGTCTACGGTGTCACCTCCTGTCAGAAAGACGCGCACATGTCGGTGTGAAACGCATGCATATGTTGGAAAAGAGACAAAGGCAGCTGTACTTATTTCTGTATTTGGGTTAATTTCCTGAGGTTATTGGCTTTAAGGTTTTAGTCAATTTGCATGCATCCTCTCCCACCCTCCTTCCTCCTTCTCTATAAGATGACTCACCTCTCTGATGACAGCACTGTACCGTTATGGCCGGTGCATATTTTGGGCAATTTCATCCTGTTTATATTTTGGGTTCTTAGACAGCCTTTGGGCCTCTGCAATTCACGGCTGTCAGTTCTAGTGTGGTTCACCCAAAATGATAGAGGAAACCCAAATAAATATTGAAGGAAAAGCAAATGGAAATGACTTGTCTGTGTGTTCTACCGAGGGTGAGTCTTAGTGCCGCAGGAGACGGAGAGATATTTACTGAAAAGATGTCCCCCTTTCTTCTTTTACCTTAAATAACACTCCCAGCTGTCAGGACGGCTTGATGTCTAGACGGGAGAAATACATAATTGATGTGAAGAGACAGAAGTGAAGGGAGTTTTGGCCATGGCAGCGTATCTTGTTTGTATGCCATTCTGCTTGGAAGTAACATTTTGTAAATGTCATCTGCTCCACAGTGGGGTGGGGGATTGAGGAGAATCGGCCTGTAATGAGGAGAGCAATGTATCCTCTGACTTGGCTGTTGCTGTGGACACTGAGATAATGAGGCACATAGGTCATTGGAGATGAGTCAAACCCTCAGCCTAGGAGAGAAATAGATTAACTACAGTATAGAGAACAGAGCAGCACATGCCTGGAGGGCTTTTATTAGCTATTAGCAGACAGCCAAGAGGAGTGTCCTCATGTCATAACATTAGCGACGTCTGAAAGCACATTATTTCCCTACTTGATATGCATGTGCAGAAAAGGCCTGCGCGACTGTTTGACCTATGCAGCTACATATGCGCCGCGCCATGTCGTGCCGGGGATAAAGTTAGCTTCTCATGATAATGGGCGACGTCGATGTTGTGGCTGCTGTTGTGACACGATTGTGCTTTCAGGCGATCACCCGTTTGAGTGTGAATTCTGCGGGAGCTGCTTCAGAGATGACGGCACGCTGAGGGGCCATAAACGCATCCACACAGGAGAGAAGCCTTACGAGTGCAACGGCTGCGGGAAGAGGTTCAGCCTGAAACACCAGCTGGAGACGCATTACCGTGTTCACACAGGTGAGAGTCCAGGGAGGAGAAACTACAGGAGAGCAGGCTTCAGGGTGTTGATACTGTCAGAAGGGGGGATTTTGTACTCTTAGATTTTAAATGTTATAGCTCTGTAGATCACACTGTTGCATTAGGCGACATGCTGCAAGGAACGCGGCCAATATCTGGATTTAACGCCACATTCCTATTGCTGTCAGAGGCATTACTGCATATATGCAGATGAGATTTCAGAGAAGAAGAACTACAGGAGAGCAAGGGTTTTTTTTAAGGTATTCATGGTGCTAAAAGACAATATTTTGTATGTTTGTTTAATTTGAAACGGTAAAGCTGGTGACTTTGTAGATCACACGGTTGCACTGGGTGACAGATTACAATGAACATGGGCAAAATATTTGATTTAATGCCACATACAACAACACATGACTGTCACTAATCACTAGATCTATTTTAAATCAGCCTCTGACAAAAGCTCAGTTTACTCCTGTACAAGCAATGTTGACTACATATTTTAAAAAATAAAATACAAACAGCACCTTACTGTTATGGAGATTTTTTTTAATCTTTTCGATAAAATTTGCAAATTTCTAGGAAAGACCCCACATACAGAGTAGGAACTCAGAAATTATTGATTCAGACTAATGTTTTTAAGGTTTTTGACTTTTAGAATTTCAGGTCACTGCTGACAAAAAGAAACACTGAAAAATAGAAAAAGCTTTTCTTAAAAAGTACATTTTCTTACAGCTAAAAAAGCACTGCCCTCGACAAAAATGAAATAAGTGGAAGTGAAATACACTGATGCATTTCTCACTTTTAGAATTTCAGGTGACTGCTGACAGAAAGAAAAACTGAAAAATAAAAAGTTAGCTTTTCTTAAAAACTAGGGCTTTCTCACAACTGAAAAAAGCATCAAGTTCCACAAGAATGTGTTATTTTATGAGTGAAAGCACAGCATTGAAAGTTGTATTCAAACGGAGGCTAAATACATGACTGAAACACAAAGTTTTGATTGTTTTGCAGCTGTTAGCTGCCCCACGGACAAGGATACGGACACAAAGCGGCTTTTAATTAAATTACTTTACATAAAAACACTACTGATCAACTGAACTAAATCAATAAATTGTACAACAAAGCCCCACATTTTACTGACTGCTATCTGATATCTCTCTGAAGTGAGAGAAAAAAAAAAAAAGAAGTTCTGTTGGATGACGCCGACTGAGAAATATCTAGTATCAAAGTAAAGGCAAACTGATATAGGTCTAATCCTTTAGTACACACACACACACACACACACACACACACACACAGCTCTTCAAGTACAGTGGACTGACGCAGAGGTGAGTCCCGTCTCACCTGGCAGGCCTCTGGCTGCAGGTCTACAAGGTTAATGCTGTATTGTTGAATTTTTTAGGTGAGAAGCCATTTGAGTGTAAGCTCTGTCACCAGCGGTCCAGAGACTACTCGGCTATGATCAAACACCTGCGCACCCACAACGGAGCGTCTCCGTACCAGTGCACCATCTGCCAGGACTTCTGCCCCAGCCTGGCCGCCATGCAGAAGCACATGAAGGGCCACAAGCCCGAGGAGGTGCCGCCGGACTGGAGGATAGAAAAGACTTACCTGTATGTCTGTTACGTCTGAGCAGGACTTGGACACCTTGCACAGTCTCACACTTGCGCACAGACACACACACGCCCACACCTACACACACACACACACACACACACACTGTCACTGTTGGATGAGAAGCTGGTAGCTCTGGTGTTGCTGATTTTTAATGCTGAAGGATTACATGTTTCTGTGAGGGTTTTTTAAAAAAAGCTCTTTTTGGATAAACTGAAAAGTGCATTGCAGTAAAGTTGTCATTCAAGGTGATAGTGCAGTTTTTAACCTGAAGACGGAGACATGCGAGCGTGAATATGAAATGTGTGTACACGTTAGGGCTGCAAGTAATGATGAGTTTCATTACCAGTCGGATTTTTTTTTTTAAATGTCCGAAAATAGGCACATTTTGGCGACAAGATGACATTTTTCAAATAGTTTTGTTCGACCAATCCAAAGAGATTCAGTTTGCAATTATAGAAAAACTCCCACATTTTCAGACACAAGTAAATATTTAGAAATTTTCCTTAAAACAAACAAAAAAAAGAGGCTGAAAAGATCGATTGATTGTCAAAATTGTCGACAGTTACCTGACGACTTCACTGTTTTTTGCCTGCAAACACACACGGAAACACACAAACACACACACACACGGTTTCTCTCTCCCTCGTTCTCACACGCAGTTTTGATAAACTGTATCTCTAATGGATCCACTGTGGTTAAAAATCGATGCCACAACGGCTGTGACTGCTGACCTGTATGTGCAGCAGCAGCATTCTGACTGATTGCTTAACCGTCAGGCAACTCGAGTCATCTTCTATGATTGTGCAGTAGATGTTGAAAATAATTCCACAAAGGCTTGATTGGCTGAACTTTGCAACATTTTCTCTCCTAATTTCCTGTGACTTCTTCTTCTTCTGTTTTTTTTTTCTCTCTCTCTCTCTCTCTCCCTTTTTGCTGTTGGATTTTTTATTTTGGAGTTGTTTATTTTCTGCATGTTTTACTTGAATGGCTGCCACGTTTTGACCTCATAAGCTTGATCTCTTTAATTGCCTTGTCTTTCTTGCAGTGGGTGTTATTGTTTCGAGGTAGCTGGCTCACGATTTGAGTTTGTTTTTTGTTTTTTTTCCTCTCGTAATAGGTTTTGCTATTTATATGTTGTTTTTATTTGTTACCAAATATGTGCTGGTTTTCATCACACAGTCCGTGTCTCTCGGGATGGTTTCTAGTAGAGCGAGCTCTACCTCTCCTCACTCTTTCGCTGTTTGTTTTTGTTTGTTTTTCCTAAATCCACTGCAAAAATTATTCATCCATCAGTGGTTTTAATTTTTCTAACAAATACATCACAAATTTACATGGTCAAACAGTGTGTTTGAAAAAAAAAAAATAATAATTAAAAAATGCGACAAAGCCTGGAAACGGCTTTTATGTGAAGGTTTTTTTTTTTTTTTTTATCATCCACTATATATAGATGTCTTATAAAAATCACAGAATAAGAATTTTCTAGGAGAAAATTGAAGAAAAGATGAAAAGAAGTTGTTTTTTTTTATAAAACGTGGAAAAAAAAAAAGAAAATTCTGACATTGAATTACTATGAGCAGGCTATCGTCAGTCGTAGTGTAGCTGTAATGTACAAACTGTCATGGTATGTTATTCCCTTATGTGAGCCTAACACGGGCCTTATAGATTTAAAACATGTTGTATTTTTGTATTACAGTAATTTGCTATCTGTTTACATTTGGTATGATTTGAGAAACATCTTAATGTGTGTGTTTTATAAGTCTCTGATTTGATTAAGATCCCTCCCTTGTGCCTCTTTTATAAGTAGAGCATTGATGTGCTTGAGTACATGGGTCTGTGCTATTGGTAGTTGTTTCTGGGTGTTTGTTTATTGTTACTTAATTAAAGATAGACTGCCATGTAGATCCACTTTGTCTGAACATTGCAACTGGAAGCAACATACTGTGATAGTGGCTGATACTCTGATGCAAGTTCCAAGCAATTTTGATGTAAAATAAAAGTACACGCTTGTCTCAAATTGTTCCCTTCAAAGTGACAATGGACTGAGATCTTTGGAATGAAAACTGTGTGTATTTGCAAATCTTGGCATCTGCGGGCATTACCAATGCCTTCTTAAGTAGCCAACAACACTCAGTGCCATGAAAACACACATTCACTGTATCTATTCTACATGAACATGCACTATAAATGGATTTCCTCGGTGGACCAAAAGAAATAGAGCACTTTTGTTTGAAAAGGGTTTTTTCTTTGATCTTTCTATGTTGTGATAATGCAGCTGTCTTTTATTTGATGTGTCCTAGAAGGATGTGATTAGCATTGTTTAGATTATGTCAATGTCTGTCTACCTCAGGGCCAGATCAAAGCTCGACCTGGTATCCAATCAGGGTTGTTCTTCTTGCCATGTGTGCAGTAAAATCCCTCTTCATTACAGCTTTGTAACACAGTGTGTGAAAGTGTTTTTCTCAGTGTGGATTCAGGCACAAACTCTGTATGCGTCAGTGTTCAGTGGCATGGTTTAAAAAAAGAATAAAACAATTTACTATTTTATGCATTCTGTCTCGCTCGCCTCCTGTTTTTTTTTTTTTTTTTTCCGCCGTCAGCAGTGAAACTGAACGGTTCAAAACCCATCTGGTCTGATGTAACCCCACAGGTGCTCTGAGGACACCTGACATGTTCCAAATGTGTGATCTGAATGTATTTTCAACTGCTTGACATTTAACACGAGTGATGATATAAAAGTGGATACTGTTGGGATTTTTTTTCTCCCATAAACGTCAACTGCAAATGTCTACGTTTGTCTGGTCAAGTTTGCATTTATACAAATACTACTTGGAGCTGACAGCAACTGTTTTTCCAATCTTTATTCCACTTTTTATTTTTATTTTTTTAATGATGGTGTTATAATTCTAGAAGAGATATCATGAGCAAAATAAGCAGTCGATGCCACGGCTGAGGATCTCCATCTTCAAACTGCAGGGCATCAATTACAGTCACAAAAACACAGATTCCAACATCTTTGGTTTTTATATGTCACACACCTAAACAACCAATCGTGTCAGTTTTGAGTGTAGGGCTTCCTGGGTCATTAATTTAATAATTAATTAATAATTTTTCGTCAGAATTGGTTTTCGGGTCAAATGTAAATACAGTCGTGACTTGACATTCAGACCCTTAACAATCTGAAAACCTTGCTATCCGACGGAACCCATAGAAAATAGCCTTAACATACCGACAGCCTTGGATTCCGACTCCCGACATGACATTTTATGTCACAAATAAGGATAACGGTGTATTATCTGACTGAACAATCCCACAGATTGGCTACGTTCAGACTGCAGGACTTAATGCTCAATTGTTTTTTTTCTATGAAATCGGACTTTTTTGTGAGTTTGTTCACATTTCCACTTAAATGCGACTTGTATGTGATCTGCTGTGTGAACTTCATACGACCCAAAAGTGTCCCGCATGCACAGAAGAGGACACAACGACGTCACATACAGCGAGCGTGCTCGTAAAGTAAACATGGATGGTAATGGTGGAGTGTATCTGCCACTCCCCCGCCGCCACCGATGGTAGAAACAGAAGTGTGACTGCTATCCTAACCTGGCATCAGCAGCCAAGTACTGCCTGTGCATTCCACCCTGTCGGCGCGCTGCCCCGGGGTGGAAGTGTGGACGTATTTACCTTTGATGTCAACCGACGGGCCCGTGTACAAGGGCACCAGTCAATTAGGTGTGAAATTAAGCGATGCGTAGTGTTCTAACAATACACTAGTTATTATAACAACTATAAACAATAAATATTAACAACAAATTCCCCCTCAAGCATCAAGCCCTCCTTGTAGCTTGACCTCCGTCTTGACAATCCGACAGCCTTGCTATCCGACATAAAAGAAGGTTTACATTTAGTGTCGGATTATCGAGTCACGACTGTAGCTGAATTACGACAACGTTACAGCTTGCCATTGTGTGCTGTAGAGTAGTTTTACAGGTGAGCTGGTGTGCTCAAGTTGCAGCAAGTGAGGAGAGGTGGGTGGAAACAAAGGCAGAGACTTCATAGATCTGCATTTTCTAGAGGAAACAATGGCATAGAGTTGCATCTAAGCCATTTTGTTGCAGAAAAGAAGTACTTTCATGAAAATAACTCCTAAATATGTTATTTTGACAGACAGAGATGAGTTTTTAGGAGTTAAATCAACAACCCAAGAGGGATTTTATGATAAACTTCAATAAAATCTGTACCTATTCTCATCTATCCATTTTCTACACCCACTTGATTCTGTTGGGTTCATAGCAGTGCCGGTGCCAATCCTCACCCTTGACAGGTGGTCAGTCCATTACAGGGCCACAAGCACAAACGGCAGCATGTTTTTATATCATCACAGCACTAATCAGTACCTAATAACAGAATTACAGTGACACAAATTACTCCGTTTTGTTTCATAAAATTCAGAGTGAGAATAAAAAGCCCAGAGAGAACCACTCAAGGTGTTGTCTAGGTTACATGAGCTTCTCATGTGATAATATGATATCTTTTGACTGCCCTGTGCTCTGGTTTTGTAAACGATTCGGTTGAAAATAGCAAGCAGAAAGACACGTGCTTTTTTTTTTTATGCAAAGCGAAACAAACGTGTCCATTCAAAGTTAATCAAAGACGTACTGTGGGCGCATCGACCCACTTCATGGTGTCAGGCCAGAATTAAATAAGTAAAATAAAAGTGTTTTATCCACAAGGGGGGAAAAAACAGCTCAGTACTGTTATTAAAGAATGCTGAGAACTTCACCAAAACCACCTTTATAAATGTGTTTCTCTGTCTTCACACACTGATTTCTATTCAGCTTTGTGCCACATAAACCACAACATGTGGAATTCAGGTGTTATAATAGATTCTAGTTAAATGGGACAAATTTGAAGTCTGGAACAATTTTGTCAGTCGTTCCAGTGCCTCAGCTCCCAATGTGATATGATTCTATGAATATCGCTCCCCTGCCTACAATATACAGAAAAAAGAGTAATCAAATACAGAGCTGATGACTCCATCACAAACACAATATGTGCCAAGTTTACTTTTTTTTACAAAGACTAATGGCAATATGGGACAGCTTTTATTTTGAAATTAAAGATGATAAGTACTGTTAATATTTTATGGCCCTATCTTTTTTTCTTCTTATTGCCCTTAAAAAATAAAACAAACAAGACCTTCAGAACTATTTTGACCATGCTCAACACATCAACCTATTTATTCACCTAAAAATATTTATATCTTTAATATTTATTGTAGTAATTATATAGAAGTTAGAAGAAGAAGTAAAATAGCCACAAATAGTTCTTTTGAAGTAGGTGAGCTTTTCTTTCCAGTAGCTATCTGATAACATATCTAAGAGAAAATATATTTGGTTTAATTTAAATAATGTCTTTTAACACAGCATATGTTTTGTGATCCTAACAAAGCTTCTTTTTTTTCTCCATCAAACTGACTCAGAGCATTGTCCAACTTTAACAATATGCAACTTGCAAAATAGAATAATACAAACATTTGCATTTCTGAGGAGAAAAGGAGGATAGAACTGATTCGTTATAATGCTGATGCATAATTACATCCCATTAGGAAAACAGATTGAAATCAAACATTGAATTTTTTTTATTTCTATAAGCTTAACAATTGTACTGTTAGAACACTGTGTCACTTCAGTGTGATTGAAGTGATGCTGAATGGATGTCACACACACTTTTGTGATGTTAAACTCCAGCAAATTCCTCATCAGCAACATGTGAGCATTGCTTTTGGGTTATTTTATGCATTCCTTGAAAACATACTCATTGCAAAGTCCCAATTTAACAATAATCACCTGACAGCATTTTCAGTTTTGCAAAAACCACTCGAGCTCAAGTCCTTCCACGTATGTAAAGATGACTGTAGAAGCACCCCAGGGTACACTTATCACACACATCCCCTGGGAGCCACTGTCGCGTGCTGTAACTCCTCTCTCGACAGCCTCCGACGCCCTAATTCAACCCGAGCGTTTCACTTTTACAGCGCCGCTACAGCCCTGCCCACCGTCGACACAGACACAATGCGGCTGATCCCTCTTAACAGTTTATTGGCTCCTGCCACAAACCTTCACAGTCTCAAGCTGTTTATAGAGTTTATGTATCATCTGGGCTACTTGCAGACAGCTGGAGTCACTCCAGGCTCTGTGGTGACCTCTGATGGCTCTTTGCCAGAGCCACAGCTGGACTCTGCTTAATCCCAGATGTGAGAGGAGTCGATACATCAGGTCTGTTGCTGCTCTCTGCACTACACAGTGAAAGGGAGACCTTTTTTTTTTATTTACATCAACTGGCAGTATTTACTGTACTCTTCTTAATGCTGGATTTTTTATTTATTTTTTTTTTTTGCCTGATGGATTTAACAGGTTATCGTGCCAACGCAATCCTTCAGCTTCCTTTTCAGCGTTCTTGTTTTTCCCCATAAAGTCGCCTGTGAGTGGGCCCTGAGTGTTTTATTGTGTAATCTATTTCGTAGCTATAAGACTTCAATCCGGTCAGCTAAATTCCAGCCTGCAGTGTTTACAGTGTCTCCCTATAATGATCACACACTCTTATTATTTTCTTTATTTTATTATTTTTTTCATCCCTCTCGGTTTCGCCACAGGGATAATGAAGTTATTCTAGCTGCGGTATGTGAACCCATTCAATTCTTTCAACTGAACACTGTGGATGTATATGTAAATACTACTGATGCTATAGAAGAAAAATCTCTAAAATTGCTGTAAGAGATTCTTTAAACACTTGTTTATGTTGCTGCGGTTTTCCAACACGCGGCTCACGACCACTCAAGAGGTCACAAGGTCAATCTGAGGTGGTCACGATATTAACATTAAACAACTGTAATCTATTTTCTCTGTTTTTCCTGATGGAACCGTTTTATCTCTGAAACTGCGTTCAAGGTGAAATGAGAGTAAAAACATCTTTTGTTGTGTCCACAGATCACAGACACGCAGTCCCGACCGTTCTACAGCTTTTCGTCCTTTAGGCTCCGCACTCCAGCACAGTCAATTTAAAAAAAAAACAGAATACATTGAAGTGCAAAGTCTCCGCTTTAATTTGATTATGTTTACAGTGTAGAAAGGACTGTGTGGGAGGTATGGCTCTTAAAACGCATACTGTCTAAAGTTTAAAAGGCTAAAAGTAATTTGTATTTTGCAGGAAACCTTTTGCAGTCTGAAGCCTTGTGAAATATGAAACACATAAAGATGTCTTGTAGCTTCTCCTCCCTGTCGACACTCTCCCAGACCTTCACTTCCTGCCTGGTCTGGAGTCTCACTTCCTTCAGTCTGGTCTTCAACAAGTTAAATGCAATCCAGTGAAGTGATGACAGGTGATAGACTGTATCAAGAGATCTTCCAACTCTTCACCCTGAAAAGATGCTGAGCTGCTTTGTCCGTATGTTTAGGATTGTTGTTCAGTGGGTTTTGATGCATCTGTCTGAATGTGAGCACACAGAATCCTCCTGTATTCACCATGATGCCTCCATCAGCAGTGAAGTCATCAATAAGTGCCAGTGTGCCAGCTCCACTGGCAGTCACACATGCCCAGGCCATAGCAGCAGCACTGCATTTGACAGATGAGCTTTATGTTATGAGCTGTTCCTGTTTTCTCCTTCCACACTTCCCTCCTTCCATCATTTTGACAAGGTCTGATTTTTGTTCCAGGACTATAATAGTTTTTCTTTTTGGTGTTGTTGCCAACTGCAACCTGCCTCTCTGTTTTTCAAGCGGAACAGTGGTTTGATTCTCGTGGTGGATCTACTGAGGTTACGGTCACAAGGTCTTCCCTTGATCATTGACAAGGAAACATTCACATCTACATCCTGGAGGGAATTCTTTATTAGCCGTGCAGTCAAAAGGGACTTTTCCTCACCGTGTCAATGCTTTTCTGGTCATCTGAGCGACTTTTGCTCCTCCATCCACCAGTTCAGTTAACATTTTCTAGTTTTTCTGTGTTTTTTGTGCTTTTTTTAAATGACTACAACTACTGACTGTGGCAAACAAACGATCTTTGATAAAGTTCTGCTTTGTTAAGCCTCGTCTTTATCTTCTCCACTTGTATTTTCACTTCTTTGCTCCTCATGTTGACAGATAACTCCATATTAATCAAATCTGCCCAGGAAACAATAAAGTGCCACATCCTTTGCTTAAGTAAAAGTATTAATATCACACATTAAAACTACTCTGTTAGAAGTGAAGGTAATAGTTTCTAAGTATTATCATAAAAATGTACTTACAAGTAATCAGTACAGAAAAATGTCCCATGCAATTGTTAAACTTCTACTTATTATATGATCAGATGATTATTACTTTTACAAGATTTTACTGTTGCATTTGTTTCAGGGGGCTGTAAGGTAACGCAGTTGGTAGCACTGTTGCCTCGCAGCAAGAAGGTCGGTGAGGGCACCGGGATCTTTCTATGTGGAGTTTGCATGTTCTCCCCGTGCAGCGTGGGTTCTCTCCAGGTTCTCCGGCTTCCTCCCACAAGTCCAAAAACATGTTGAGGTTAATTGGTGATTCTAAATTGTCCGTAGGTGTGAATGTGAGTGTGCTTGGTTGTCTGTCTCTAAGTGTAGCCCTGTGATAGACTGGCGACCTGTCCAGGGTGTCCCCTGCCTTCACCCTGAGTCAACTGGGATAGGCTCCAGCGCCTGCAACCAGATTGAGGATTAAGCGGTGTATAGATGATGGATGGATGGATTTGTTTCAGGTTGAGCTCATTTTTAACTATTTTGTATCCAATTGCAATTATTGATTATCTTCATTATGGGTCAACCAACTGATTTTTTTATTATTTTTTTTTATTTGTAAAAATAGGGAGAAAAGCCAGGTCATGTAAGGAGACCACTATCAAGATGATGGTCAACATTTTGCACATTGACTATTTCTTAATTTCTATAAACTATGTAGTAATTTAACTGATATCAAAACATCACGCCTTATAATTCTTCTTATCTTGTGTGCAATCATTTTAATTTGTAAAGTAAGTACTTACTAAAGCTGTGTGATGGAAAATGTAGAATTTCTCCTCTGAAACGTCACCGAGTAGAAATAGAAGGTGGCACAAAAAGTAAAAATAAGGTAGGAATAAGATAAGTGAAAGTATCCTAAATTTGTACTTAAGTTACTTGAGTAAATGTTCACATTCTACTAGTCTCCAGTTCCATCTGAACCCCTTGATTTGGAAAACATGTTTTAATTAACACAGTTGTTTTAGTTGCTTTTAAATAAAACGTTGCACTTTAATGCAGTATCCATTAGTTTATTTTAAATTAAATGTGCTGAATCACTGAGAATGAGGAACAGAAAAAGTGCAGTCGTCCAAATACTTATTGTCTGGACTGATTAGAGGTAGAGTGCTGCGAACATCAGAAATACAAGCTGAGAGATGAAGGCCACCAAACTCAAACTCTTGAATATAAACAGGCCTTGACTGTTCTACATCTTCTCTAAAGCTACATACAGCTTCATGAACCATTAGCAAGTGCAGCTGCAAATAAGAGCCATGCTCATATATGACAGCAACTAAAGAAAACGAATTAAACCACAAGGACCCTGGTGCTATAGAAGTGACACAAGAGCTGGAAAATGGGAAAGAAAAATCAATTACAGCACATTAATGTGCCATTTCACTAGAATTGACCCTGTGTAATTTATCCTTTAAAAGGGTTAAAAGTAGCAATGTTCACCAGCAATCTGACTCACTGGTTGTGCTTTTTATGTCGCTTTCTCCTCCCCTTCTGCTGTCATGTCAACATGTAAATGTGTTACCATCCATCCATCCATCCATCCATTATCTATACACCGCTTAATCCTCACTAGAGTCGTGGGGGGGCTGGAGTCTATCCCAGCTGACTCAGGGTGAAGGCAGGGGACACCCTGGACAGGTCACCAGTCTATCACAGGGCCACACTTAGAGACAGACAACCAAGCACACTCACATTCACACCTACAGACAATTTTAGAATCACCAGTTAACCTCAACATGTTTTTGGACTGTGGGAGGAACCCGGAGAACCCAGAGAGAACCTGCAAACTCCACAATTAAAGATCCCGGGTGTCCTAACCGGGATGCGAACCGATGACGGGCAACAGTGCTACCAACAGTGCTACCAACTGCGCCACCTTGCAGTCCCTAAATGTGTTACTGCTTTCGTAATCATCTTCGCAATAACAACCTACCTATATGTCAAGTTTTTACAGAGGATTTGGTTCGTGCAATATTGACAAACCCTGTTGCTGGATCATTCGCTTCGTACCCTGTAAGACTGTGATTGGTCTAAACAGTGTTTTTGTCCCTTTACATTAGAATGGTAGTGAGGTGCAGCCAGACCATTCTGTGCTGTAGAACAGTATGAGACTATCTGATCTGAGATTATCTGATCAATTTAAGTATCTACTATCTATGTAGTTCACTTTTTTGGGTTTTTTTTAAAAAATCCACTTATTGATTTATTTAAATATTTCCTTACAGGCTTTTTAATGACTGAATCCTTGTCATCATCTTAATCACTTTGTTTTTTGCACAGTTGTTCTGTTTTCAAAGAGTTCTCATTCCATCCCACCTGAGCTTTATGGGACATCCAGTTTCAGAAGCTGCTGACCACTAAAATCAAAACTGGAACAGATGGGGCGGATTTTTCTCTTTGATCCATCTCGTCTGAAGCATTTCTTTTTTTTCTAACCTTCTCCAACTTTCATTTCCAAAGAGATGAATTTAACATTAAAGCAACCATTTGACTCTGTGAAAAACTGACTATCACCTGTAACCCCTCCACCTCCGACACCGACCCCGCCTTCAGTCCACGCTCAGCGGAGGAGCAGACTGAGTGGGAGCCCGTGTTAATGTAATCTCTTCTGTTTAATTAGAGTGAGCGTGGTGGGCAGCTAAAGCAAACCACATTACCCACCATCTGGTGGGGAACATTTCTGCTCTTACCCACCCTCGCTATCATTAGCCTCTACAAGACAAGATACAAACACATACATGACAGCTATTTATTCATCCTGCCACTTTCAATTCAGACGCAACTGCATACCATTTAGCGACTACGATGAGGCCACACTCGCACTCAGACCTGTCACAAAATCTATTGTCCTGTAATTACAATATGCTGCACAACAAAATTGAAATAGTTGTCGAAGAATTTAAAGCCACAAACTGCTCCACACATCTGCTCTATTTAACAGAGTCTGGCAGTTGATTTTTTTTTTCCTCAGACATTTCTGCTCCACTTTTCATTCGCTGTGACCTCCATATGATGTATTGAAGAAGGAAACAAGCCTTTACGAGCATGTGATCGTTGCACGTCTTATATTTAGAACTTGCAGATGAACAGGAGACTTCTGAATATTTAAACAAATATTAATGCAGCCTGCACCGTGACTCGACTGCAAGGTTATCCTCAGCTGCTCCTGAAATGGAGCTCCTCGACTCCACCACGAGAGGGCAGTATGCCACTACAGCTCAGGCTGCAGGACGAGGGCTCGAGCACAGCGGATTTACTGCTCCACAGAAGGCAGAGCTCACTGGCAGCCGGCCGAGCAGTACAATTATTGAAGCACACAGACAGAGAGAGAAACCTGGCAGCCAGTGTGTGTGTGTGTGTGTGTGTGTGTTGATAGGGGATTCATAGATGTGCCCTCAGCCAGTGCTGCATCATTACCTGGACAGCTTACAGTGTGAACACATGACTGTGCCATGACACTACACACATGTTGAGCCAACATTGCTCAGCCACGCTTTAGCAAAAGGTAAATGTAGTCATTTCTAAACATATAAATCTGACGCAGATAAGCGGTTTACTGCCCGCAGCCGTATATTTTGGACCCGCCTGCAGATGGAGGATTTCTGGACAGGGTTTTTTTTTTTTTTCAAGCTTTCTCGGATGTACTGAATGTGGCGCAGTTATTGATCCTAACCCCTCGATGGCCGTGTTTGAGGTGAGCTAGGCAAACTGAAGGTGTGGCTTTCACTAGCCCGCCAGCTTCACAACTGATCCTTCTCAGGTGGAAAAAAAGATTGTGCCATCATCTCAGACACTGGCTGAACAACGTGAGGACACGCCTCAGACTTGCACAGTTGCAGCATGAAGGTTGAGCAGAAAACCAGGACGTCTTATGAGAGCTGGCAAACCTGTCCTGTCCTATTTTCAAAACTGAACGAATCCTTATTAATGTGTCCGGTACACCAGACAGCCCCATTTTTGTCTCATTATCTGTCTTGATACTGCACAGTTCTTCATAAGATAAACTTTGTGTAAAAGAAATACAGACTTATTATCTAGCTGCAACAGCATTGCTAGCAACAGTTTAGCATATGCAAATTGGTGTTATAATGTCTTGAAAGACCTGTAAATCAATAGGGCAATGCTCCAGGTTTGCTCATTATTATTTATCGGAAAAAAAACTCAGCCGGATGTATGTTAGGGGTAACAAATACACACAAATAGCTTCGTTTTAACACCCAAACATCACACACTGTGACTAAGAGAGCTCAAAAACGTCACAAACAAGCTGAGCAATCAGAATAAATCTTTATACAGCTGTATCCCCTTATGGGCAGTCACAGTTGTGACAAATACATCGACTTATGAATGTTTTTATAGTGCTAATAAATGCTTAATCGCGGAACTCAACGTGTTAAAGATGTAACATGTTAATTAGGGAGCTTTTGAGGTGCAGGGACTGAAGTTTTGAAGCAGAGCCAGGTGAGCTGTTAGTCAGTTGTTGTTTCCAGACTTTCTGATGCTCACCGGCTTCTATCTTTAGCCTCCCATTTAGCTGACAGATACGAGAGTGGTATAAATCATCTAATTCTGCTCCTTTCTCAGTTCAGGGACATTTCAAAGGAAGACATATGGATCATCACAGGTGGTATTCAGCAAGAGGTGTTTGAGTTCAGGTCTGTGGAAGCACGTCAAAAAGAGAGAGAGAGAGGGAGGGAAAAAAAGAAAAAAAACACTAACCGCTGCATTTGGATTGTGTGTTTACCAGGCTCCACTCTGCCCATACCTGCATCTGTGGGCACTTTAACCTTTAATGTGCATGTCTGCTGAGAGGTCACAGCCAGAAGCCTTAAAAAGGCACAACACTCACGGCAGCCCACACATAAGTGGTTCAGTCTTTAAATGCTTTGGTGGTCTGAACTTTGGCAAAAAAAAAAAAAAAAAATCTGTTGAGGCAAACACAGTCCAAACCTTATAAAAGAAGCATCCCTCACTTCTGTTCATTCAGAACCTTACTGTGGGATTTCCGAGCGGGGACCGAGAGACCACATCTGATGTTCAAGGTCTGGACATCGGACAGAGGGCTCACATACTAATGGCTGAGATAAGAGCGCGAAGCTGATCAAATCTCAGAACACCACAACGGGGGAGAGAGCTACCCCCTCGGAGCGGGGAGAGAGAGAGAGAGAGAGAGATAGATGCAGCTCCAAACTGGGCAGCGGCCAACCTCTTCACAGTGGAGCCTCAGACTGTGATACATGAATAAATGAATGAATGGAGCCCACACTGCGGGGCCACTGTTATTGTTGCGGCCGCACTGGAGGGATTTACTCATGAAATTTAAATTCCTGATCAAGAGATGGGCGCGAGCCAAGGTCTCGTCGGTTACTCGAGATACAGACACTCGCTGTAGTCTTCTGGTTGTTTCTTATGATATTAAATGATATACTAGTAAGTGCATGATAATAGAGACTGATGAAAATGAATACAGTCTTATAAATTAGCACCAAATAAACCCGCCTTCATTAAAGCAACAAGTTTTTTTTTTTTTGGTTAAAACTGTTTTAATGAGTGTTTATTTAACTTTATGATCATTTTAGCATAACTCGGGCTGTTTTCTTTTTAGATTATGTGTTTAGAAAATGCCAGAAAATCTTGAAAAATGTCCATCACAATTCCCCGCTCTCCCCAGCTCACTCTTCAAATGGCTCATTTTGTTTGATCAACAGCACATACACATTTAATTGAAATCGTCGCATTTGAGAAGCAGGAAGCCGTGAACATTTGGCATGTTTGCCTCATAAATGTCCTAAGTGATTGCCTGATTAGGAAAATTACTGGACGTTCGTTTTGTGCTGATTGATTACTGATTAACTGACTGATTCTTTCAGCAGCACAAACAGCAGCCTCTAAAGTGACCATAAAGCCTATTGAAAGGAGTTTAAACAGAAACAAAGGCTTATTTAGTCTATTTGCTTATTATTTAATGGGAAGCATAATAAGAAAAAAAAAGTAACATATGTCATGTATATGGTGTTTAAACAAAGCTAATTGGTCATCCACATCTCTATTTATGTTTTAATCATGAAAATGACTATTTGATCAATATGAAAGGATTTTAAACAAAGATGTTCAAATATAAATAGAAGCAGAATCAGGATAACAGTCATTTAACTGTGCGTGTTTAAGTGCTTTTGCATTAGACTGCTTCACTGGGTTGTTTAACCATCAGTTTATTAGGTAAGTGTAGCTAATAAACTGAGAGTCAAATGGTCTAATAAAACCATGAAGCACAATGTTGGATAATGTCTACAAAAAAAAAAGAAAAGCATAACTTTAACTTGCACAACATATGGTCTAAATTACTTGCAATTTTCATAGTTAGTTTCCGATTATATTGGAGGGCTACAAAACAAGGATGCATGCAAGAAAAATGTGAATCAGATACATATCCTTGAATGAAAATGGCTTTATTATCATCCCCAAAGAATTTCTAACAAGTGAATGGCAGGTCTATAAATGACTGTTTACTCAGCTGTCTGAGAAAATGCATCTCACCAGAAGAGGGAGACATCAAATCTTTAAGAAAATGACCAAACAGCAGCTATGGTTTTTTTTCTGCTCTTCTGTTGGACTCTGCAGGAGGAGAACTAATATAATCAAACATTTTTAACCTCACAAGCACAGTGATATGAATTTCAGCTGTTGCTCCACCGCATGCACTTCACGCTTCTTCTGCACTGCTTATTACTCTGTGTTTGATTTCCAAATAATTCCATATGACACCTGTTAGATGAAATAGATGTGGGACGTTTTTTTGGATTCGGCCTTGACAGTCAGACAAGGAGGAATTTTCTTCCTGGCAGTTGTTGCCGTCACCTGGACTCTGGCTAATCCCGCGCTATGTATATGAGATATACGTAAATAACTCTTGTAATAAATGTTCCTTTAGCTATAAGGATCTAATTAACTCAGTCGTTTTTATTAGCAATCCAACATGTCTTTCAGGAAATGAAGTGATGGCAAGCTTTGATCTCCTATCTGAGTGAGTTCAAGATATTTTCTCACAAATCGCACAAATCTTTCTCATCTCACTTGTTAATTATTTCTACTATTTTTAGAGTTAATGAGTCTGTGAGGCCACTCAAGTCACATTTTCTACTGTGGTTAAAACAGAGATGACATCTGGAATATAGAGAAACAATACTGACACACACAAAAAAAAATATCTGACTGCGAGGCGGTAAAAAGAGAGAAGAGAAAGTCTCATCTGTCAGCGGGCAGACAGAACAGACTTCATTTTGAGTGTTGAGAGATGATAGCTTTGGATTTCAAATGATGGGGATTGACATGATATGAGACTTTTCAACAATCTGCAATAATGACCTTTTCTCAGAACCTACAAACTGTCAGGTAATAACATGTCTCGGGTGAAAATAGACAATCTTTTGGCACAGGTAAAAAGTGTTACCTAGCAACCCCCCGGTGTCCTATCAATAGTCGGCTCGGAGGTATCTCTGGAGATGCTCCCCCCCTACAAAGACCTGGTTCAGCTTGCTTCCACAGGCCCCCGTGACCCCCCTGGACAAACAACAGCCTCATTCTCTGCACCACTGCTGACCTCATTGTCTCTTTGTGAAGGGAAAATCCAGAGTTGCATTCTGTTAAATGGCAAATGGTGCATCAACTGCGAGCGGGACGGACCTCTGGAGCGCCGGCCTACAGATGAGCACGGACACCGCTGCATTTTTCTCAGGACTGTACGCAAGGAAAACATGGTAAGGAAAAACAGGCAGGCTACATTATTCACTGCACCTTGCTTCATCCGTCTAACGTGTGCAGACTGGGGCGGAAACAACACCTCTCTGTCACCTTCGCTTGCACCCTCACGAGTTTCTTTACACATGCAGTTTTTGCATTAAACTCGTTTTACACTCGCTTCTGCTGCCGTGCAGAATGAAAGTCGTACAATGCATGTGAATTATTTCATAAAGCAACCACATAGAAATGTGAGAGAAACTACTGTAGTACAGGTTTGAAGTGAAATCTGCTTGTGTAGACAGTAGCTATTAATAAAAATTGAGCGTGCAAGCGAAGGTGACAGTGATAGGGGTGTTGTTTTCACGCATATATTATAAATACATACTATGCTATACTAATTCCAGAAGCCAAAATTACACGTTTCGCCACACTTAAGCGCTACAGTAATACATGAGGGATAATTCTATAGCATTTATTTAAATGGGTTTAGTACTGTAATTGTATAATGCCAAGTCTGCATCTAACATCTATGGAGGGTCTTATTATAATTACTGCAATATGCTCAATTTATAGAAGCAGCTGCTACTTGGAGATTAAGCTCAACACACACATACACATGCATAGTAAAATCTTCCCGGGAACAGAAACAGGAAATGTGTTGTACAAGACACAAAGCAGATATACACAGATCTCAGCTTCCCCTTTATCACCGAGGAGATGTATGACACAAACACATGCCTGGACTGGTCAGCGGGGGTTAACGTTCAGGATTACAGTGCTTCTAAGAAAATGCTTTACAGGTGGATTGTTGTTGATGAGCAGCCTGTGTGTCAAGTGAACAAACTCGTCAAAACTTTATCAGCGAGCTGTAAACGACGTGCCTCCTGTGATTCCCACAGAGTCTCGATGGAGACGCATTATCAGTGATTGAAAACCCGGTGGCTGTCAGTCATCCTTTTCACTCGGAGAAAACAGCGGGAGTCACAGGGACCAAGGGGGTCCAGGGCTGGTTAAAAGGCATACACTCCTCGACGCTCGGTAAGCTCCAGTGGTGCGCCACCCAACATACATCAGACTACGACAGCAATCTGGCTTCATTTTGTCAAGAAACAACACTAGCTGCTTAAACACATTGCTCTACGTGTGAAGCCCAATTAAGGCTGAATCAAAGCACCGCAGTGACAGACGTGCAGCAGCACTTTCTTATGAAAATTGCACCAGATAGATATGCTTAACCCTTTAGTGTCATGCATGTATGGAATAAAGCTGATTAATTACTGCCTTTGCCTCAGTGTGCTATATATATGTACCAGCTGAGATTTGGTAATTCTTCTCATCTCATATCAGGGATCAAGAGGCACTAATTCCAGTATTAACTGTTTCTTTAAGCTCACAGACTGGTGAGGCTGCTGGCAGCGGTGTGTGCAGTTGGACTCCTGGGAGGCTTAGTTGTAGGTGTCTGGTTTCTAGGTGAGTCAGTGTGTCTCAGAGAGAATCACTAAATGAGCTTAAGGAGGGACCAGGAAGTGGAAACAAATGTGCAAAAAGAATTGTTAGTACTGCTCAAGCCTCTGGATGGTTTTAGGGCAATGCTAATTTAGAAAGAGCCTGATATATTCCATATCAGCATTCAGAAGGTTTAAGAATTAGTTTGGTCGACAACACATCAGAACACAGAGAAAAATGCCACAATTTTTAAAAATGATGCCCTCAAAACTTAAAGAGATTAAACACGTCACTTTAAGTCAAGGAAAAGCTATTTAAGAAAATGGAACCATCACTTTTTTTTTTGCCATTTTTCCTTCATAAATGACATAAATGGTTGATTGATTACCAACTTAACTGATAATGGATTTTATTTTTTTGACTGATTAATCAATTTATCAAATTTAACTTCATAACGATATATTGTAATTTGATTCCTCAAATACATTTATGGGTCATT